GGCAGTGAGGAACATGCTCAAGCAACAAGCCAGCCAGGAACAAATCGCACAGCGTCGGTGGCACAGTGGTTAGGACTCTCGCCGACCATGCACATGGTCCGGGGTTCGATCCCCTGCTGACGCACACCCGATATCTATGGTCGGCCTGCAAAATTTGGGCTACCGATATCGATGCTGAAAATTCCATACTTGTACTGAAAATACTGTGTGGCATCAAGCTGTAGTAAAAAAATGTATCGAGAAAGTGAAGATTGAATGTCCATGAATTTAGGAGACCACTGACGAGAAGCAGCTGTATAGGACTGCAGTGAGCAGAATGCAATGGAAATGTGCCACAATTGCTCTGGTACACTCAATGAGCAAGGAGAGAATACTTATGACAACACTGACTATTAACGGACACAGAATCTGAACGGCAGTACCACTAGATCAGTTAGAAACTTAAATTCTGCATTGGCATCTATATTTAAAACACCAGAGTAAGATAAAGATAATAGGTGCAGAAGTCTGACGTTCACAGCTGTGCATACCCTATTTATCTCAGAAGTTGGCCGAGAGTAGGTTTAGAGTGTAGTGGAGAAGATTACTTGAACGGAGTTTTGAATTCACTAGAACCTACATTTCGCGGATAATCAGATTATTGTTAGCACATATGATGAGTAACGGAACAACCTCCATCATGAAATCTGTTTATCATCGCAAAGTCGGAACCATAAATCCGCTATATCAAAACATTGCTGTACTTACTGGCCACTGTAGAATTCTATGAATTTTCAAACCCTTCATAACTGATTAACTGATAATGATTGAAGGTTCTGCATTCTCTGTCTTACTCTAGCACCTGTGTATCGTATTTCTTCTTACCTTTCAATAACGCAACCTTTTGTAATTCCCGCGTGAAGTCAACTAACTACACGTATATTAACGATTAAAATTTAGACTTAAACCAACATCTTATAACTTATTCGACTGAAAGTAAACATTAAAAACTTCTTGTATAGCTTCTAGAATGTTAATTCCTATTTTCGATATTTATATCACAATACAGTGTTCAGTCTAAAATTATACTTGTCAAATATGATCATGTCTGTACAAATGGCATCTTAATCATGTAAATGTCTAATTCATATGAATTAAATATTAATATTATTTAGGTGAATGATATCGAAATATTTGAGTTCTCTGGGCTGGTTGATTTAATTTCGGAGCTTTCGTCATCCTTCCAGAATTCTTCAGAACATGTTTTGGCATACAATGAACCTGCTTAAATTCTCCGTGATGCAATTGTGTCTCCTGATGACCACTATAGTCACTGCTTGTTTATTAACATCTCTCTATTTCATTGACTTCGAATTTGAACATTCTTGTCATGTGATTTACTTTTTATTAGCAGGTAAATTTGTTTGTTAGTGGCTAATTCACTTGAGTACCAGGCTTCTCTGGCATTTTTGTTTTTTCCTATATTTAAAATTTCTGCACTATCATAATCAAAGTGTTGTGCATAATTATCAACGTGCATTGATACAGGTGAATACAAACCATGTATTTTTTCTGCCAATTTGTGTTATTTGATTCGAAATCGAAGTGAATGCCCACTTTGACCCACGTGATGTTTATTGTAGTTCATACAATTTATTTATTAGACTGTTTAGAGGCTGAGGATGTTGACGTTCACGGACAGTACGATTTATACTAACGCAAGATCTAATGCCCATAATTTTATCGCAATCGTTCCGCGTAGATCAAAGGCAAAGGAAAACACCAGAATTAATCATCCGAATTATGAAGTATGTTTCGGGACCAAGTCGTAGTGCGAGATTGACTGCTTAACTAGCTGGATATCGTGAACGAACGAACGTAACACGACAGCGTGCAAGACGGCGTGGATGCGTGACCGGAGAATTACCTACCGCTACAACAGTAATAACGTTACCTTCTTCTTCTGATGGATCTTTTGGTTTGCGCAATATATAATGAAGTGATTCTGCTGGCTTGTTTGCAATATCTACTTCAAACGGTCTTAAATATTTCGGAGATCTTTATAGTAATTTTTATATTACACTAAAACGTGTTCTGAAGATGTTGTCTAGAAGGATGAAGAAAGCTTCACGATTCAATCAGCCAGCTCAGAGAACACAAAAGTTCATTTTTGGACTGTACACAAGGGGACAGATTCGTTCCTTCCATAGACCAGACAAAAACGTGAAACAGAATCCAAAAATTACCGAAGTGACATTTCTAAGTATTAATCTGCGATAATGATACAATCACATCAGGCTGGTGATTGATTGTGAACATAAATGGACTAGACGTACAGTAATACCAAGTCTGAAAATGACCAGAACAGACAATTATGTCCTGCCTAAAACAAACTCGCGAATATATACAAAGAAAAACCTTAACAAGTTGGTGCGGATAAGGAAATCACACACCTGATAATTTGTATGTCGGTCCCAGTTAAAGCGGGATAACACTGCAACAGCATCTGGAATTAATTGAATGGGGTTCATTTGTTTTAATTAACGGCTCACTAGGGATCGATTAAATCAAACAATATGGCTGCGTCCATGGATGTAAACCTTCAAATGGATCAGGTTGGTCTCCTTATTTTGAAAGGAAATATATCAGTATAATACGATGACAGCAACTGTTTTTAAGTTAATTTGAATGTACTTACCCTACTCTCTATATCTGATGCTTACTAAACGTATTAGTCTCTTTTAAGACACAATGTCCGTATATTTTAAAATGTCTAGTTACGGTCACCAAATTTTGTTAGGTACATACGTTAATTGCATGTATCTGTTTTTCTTTTCAGTACCATGCCCGTCACCCTCATGTTGCTGGGAGTTCACTGTCTTCCCATCCCAATACCGGGCATTTACAACACGAAGGTGCTAATAGTCGTTTGCCGAGCCAATTTGGTATTCCGTCCCAACCTCATCATTTTGGCCATGTTCATGATTCTTATGTCAATCCTGCCTCATCTGTACAGCAAATGTTAATGCAACAGCAGATGCAACATCAACGCTCAGCTAATTTTGTTCCCCAAGGTATCGCTTTGATGTAGACATTATAACCAATGAGTTCTATATTTTAAAGACATTTTAAGCACTAAGTTTTTTTCCATGGAATGATTGATTCTTAGATGTAAAATGTTTCTTAGTACATTTAAGTTGTTCTTTGATTGTGTCGTCCAGGGCATAGCCAGGTGGTTGTCTACCTATTATTGTTTCATATCCTGAATCAATGTCTCAAACGAAAGCACCTGTACTGTAAAATTTCTTAATTACGTTCAGGATTGGCTTTGTTAAATGTTAGACATTTGCTCAAAGTCCTGCGGCTCGCAGACTAGTGGTCTAACCCACCAGAAATTTCGCTGTACAGGACCGCTACGTTCTGAATTCGTACTGTTCTCACCAAGTCATGCTTTTGCACATAAACTAGTATTCACTTACAAACTACTTTTAAAATAGCGACGTGCATCTCAAGCTTGCTGGTTAGCAGTGGGTTGCAAGTCGTATTTCATCCACTTCTAAGGTAGCCCACGGGTACGCCTTCATTATCTCTCGAACCTGATATAAGGCAGATATGGTGAATATAGTGTGTAGCCTGCCAGTTTCCAGTGTCTTACCTGGATTCACTTTCGGTATCAACCTGCGCACTACTGTCGTATGTTGTAGTAGAGGGCATCTGTATGATGTTGGTGGCAATACCACTGAGCTGAGTGGTGTCAAGTGAAACATTTTTTCTTCATCCTGGGTCCATGTCATGGCATATATGACTGAGAGGAAAGACAACTGAAAATAATGGTATAACTGTAGCAGCATACCTTACATCTAGTATTCCGGCAACCCTTTCTCCCTACATGCACATTAAAACAGTAAGGATCAGGACTCTAACTTGGTCCTGTATAAGATAACATCTTTGTAAGTTTGTTGCCAGGCATGCATCTCAACTGCCGTAGTGGATGAATACACAGCCTACGTATCTTACACATTGGTTCAACATAACTCCCTCTCCATTTGAGCAAAAAAGAACCCTAGGGTTGAACACATGTGCTCAAATACCTTCATTTACAGCAGCATTTGATGCTGACATTCGACAGGAATTCCTTTCTATTGTGTTTATCTACTAATTGTTGGTACTTTGTTAGTTTCGTTAACAGTTGTCGATGCAACTAAACTTAAGCAGTAGGGGCAGTCATTGGTCAGGGATGTGGAAGCCACCGGAACATAATTCTTGGCACATCCAAGCCAGTGCCTCAAGTTAATGTCTTTTCAGATTCGGCAGTTCATCCATACATGTACTCATGAATATCAAGGTGGCAAAGGGATGTCAGCACCAGATAATAGGGATCGAACAAGGTTACCTGACATTTTTAGCTTGAAGTTGCCAAGCTTCTTGGTACAGCAAAAGTGCTAGCAATGAGGGATTGTAAATCCCAAATATTATCAAGCTAACACTGATGGCATTGACAGTGTAAAGGCTGTGCGTGGTAACTAAATGTATTAAAACTCGAATGCAGCTTGAAAAGTGCTTCTGCTTGCATACTGTGGCGGTGGTGAAAACTAGATCCCTTAGTTTAAATCTATTGCTGGTTGAAGGAAAACTAAACTGAATCTGTTTTGTGTACAACTAGTTCAGAATCTATACTGGACTATTTTCGTTACTATTTGGATTTAATGACGAATTGACGTGTCCGTCTCTGTGTCCCATAGTTTGTTATAATGGTCGGATGCAGGATGTCTACCAAAATGACAATATCAACTGATTAGGATTTCGTATGAGTTTCTTATTTTCACTTGTTGCATCTCAAAGCAGAAAACTGAAATAAATTGTCAAGAATTTCTGTTCTTTGTGTTCTGGATTACTTAAGCTCACTCCTCACATCTTTGATATTTTTTTCTCAATTTTCTTGCTCTTCTAGTCTATGACAGTGGCGAACGATTGGTAAAATCACTTTCCAATCATGATACAAGTCCTCACAGTCAAGTGAATCAAATGCACATCCAAATGCCTACCCACCAGCAAATCTCCCATTCTTTGCAGTCTAACAATCCTTCTGTCACACCTAGTGCCCAGTATTCGCCTGCTATAGAACACGGATCGCATCATTCTCCTATTTTGAAGGATACTTATAACTCTTCAAATTACCAAATGCAAGACCAGTCACATGTTCTTACTCATGCATCTCATTTGCAACAGCCCGTGTACTCTTATCATGGTGATGCATCTAGAATACAAAATCCTCAAACGACCGCTCATACAACAACAGAACTGTCTAGTCCACAGTATCCGGGACACCATTTACCGATGCAAGTAAATAATAGTGCCTCCGGAGATAACGAGGTCCCTCATTCGGGCAATCAGCATCCTCATATGTCGACTGCTTTCCAAACTCCCTCAGCTCCGTATGTTCCTCCAGTCAAGAAACGACGAGGTCGACCTCCGATTCATCCCACTTTTGACGTTGGTAAGTGGTACAATCATATTGCTTTTGTGGAGTGACCCTGAAAGACCTTACCAACCGGTATCCTTGTTCATCTAAAAATAATACAGTATTTGGCATAGCATTCCTGAGAAATAGCGTGCTGATTTTTTCTGTTGCTCAGTTGTGTTGTGTTTGATCTCTTTCAAAATTCAAACGGCCACAATTCGTTCGTTTCAGCTCGCATGTGATAATATGGGCTTCATTTTTTATTTCTGGTGAACGAATATAAGTACCACACTAATGACCGCTTCACGAAAACTACAGAAAAATACGACTTTAATTTTGTAATTTGTATTTACATGGTTGATATGGTGTTATTCTCTTAACACAATTTCCATGTTGCGATTTTATTCATTCTTTTCATTACTTTACAGGTGCTGGAACTTTGTCCGATGAAGACGAGCATACCCTCTATGGAGCCATACGATCCGGGAGGGTTGCACCGCAAACGGTAGTGGATGATTGGATAGAGCAGTATAAGACAAATAGAGAACCTGCTATGTTGGAACTAATTCAGTTCTTTATATCCTGCAGCGGGTGTAAAGGTAAGCATAGAGTGATGCCTTAGTGTTTATATTCACGTGCGCAATTTAACCAAGCAAAACTGAACTGCACCGACTCCTAGCTTGAAGATAGGAAGTGAACTAGAAAAGCGTGTTTGACCACTTCACTTATTTGGGTAGTTGCACCAGCCCCTAAAGACTGATTTTTGATACAGAAGTCTGTATAACATTTGCCAACTTACGTCATCTGTGCCATAAACATGATATCTGGCTATCGATCAAAGGACGTGCGTACTGTGCACCAGTTCGCTGCACCCTTTATAGCCGTGAGACAGCCATTGAAAGTGGAAGGTGTCTGTGTCAGCGTCCTATACCCCGCGTCGAGTAAGATTGAAGCTGGGTGTCGAGATAAAAAAAACCTTACAAATCGATATTATTTAAAAACACTCATATTGTTATTTACTGCTAATTTAGAATATTCTATTTATATATATATGTATATATATACATAAAATTGTAGAGTCGGAAGAGGAATTTGTTGAAAAGAATATTCTTTGCTGGATTATTTTGTTTTAAAAAAAATAAAGCCAGTCGATGAGGTTGCGAGGCTTCGTCACGGAATCAGGTTTTAAAAAGAAATAAGGGTGGTGAAACCGAGATTTGGGACCAGTCCATGAAATCTTTGACAGTAAGTTCTAGCCAGATAACGAGGTGTTGACTGGCTAACTAGTTGAAGTTCTCAGTATGGTAAGAGCCAATGAAGGCTGGAGGCAGTTAGTGATGTGACTCTGAATCGTTCGCGATGATAGCGCAGATGCGTTCACTCCTTGTGATGTTCCATACCCATTGAATCCTCACGTTTTCCTTTACTACTGTTTTTGGTTTCTTGCACATTTCCGCTCACAGTTTCTCTGGTTCTGTTTTTTTTACCTTGGTGTCTTACATGGTGTGGCAACTTGAAAGTAGTAAGTACCATAGCCGAACGCCACTATTCTCCCGGTACTTTCTACTTCACTGGGTCACGAAAGTATCAAAAGACAAACTGACTTGTAATTGTAATTATACTATATATATATATATATATATACTAATCCGATTGTGATTGTATAAGGTCGAAGGTCATCCAGTAAAATTACTGCGTCCACTTAGCAACGGTAACTTAAATTTGAAGCACAGATCCTTCTAGCTCTGCAACCAGTAACTTGAGATTTCGATTTTAAAATAATCCACTTTCTTATCAAAGCTCAGAAATCGAGTTCAGGTTCTGGTGTTAACCTCACCCTCTATTATAGATATACGGCTCATTAACTTAAGCACCTGATGTTAATCCGGTTTTGAGTTTTATACCTCTTTGAAAAAAGTTGGTATCATCAGTCCGTGCGTGATAAGTATGGCTCATGATGTGGTACATTTTTCGTCTTACGGGTAATTGAGTTCAAACTGCTGTATTGCTAGCTGTAATATTTACTCCCAGTAGACATTCTGTTTTATTTTTAATTGCTTATCATAGTAATAATGTTTCCGCTTATGCCTAATCGCCCACGCCTAACTTTTTAAAATATTCGTACAGGTAAGGTAACACCAGAAATGTATAGTCGTCTTTCACACACTGATATTATTCGTCGGATGACTGAAGAGTTTGATGAGGAATCAGGTGAATACCCGCTGATACAGTCAAGTCCAATCTGGAAACGTTTCCGTTCGAATTTCATTGAATTTATCCAGGTGCTGATTCGTCAGTGTCAGTATAGCATAATTTATGATCAATGTATGATTGACCAGGTCATCTCGCTATTGACAGGTCTTACAGATTCTCAGGTTAGTTTTGTTTTCTTTTACGTATTTAAATAATATGTAACGGGTGGTCATACTCGTTGTTCAAAGTATGGGGACGACCGAGCTTACGATACTAACTTCATTATCATTAGGTTAAGGTCTAAGAAGCCAAATTTGATGCGGATCATGTATGTAATGTGTGCACTAGCTGCCATTTTGAGCAGCTTTATGGTGATGCTATCAAAAAGCTGTTGGAACAAATGTTTCAAGAGGTTTTAGAACTTAATTGCCCCACAGATTTATTAGCTCTCTCACTTAGTTGTGGTTGAAAACTGACATGTGTTCAAACTGAAGTAAGAAATATTCCTCCTGTATCACCGTAAAAAAGACATTTGTCGTTTAGACAAAAACAGAAACATACCGAACAGTATCGAGGTGGGAAAAGTGATTAATCTGAATCTTTTTTACACAAATAAGGAGAATGGAATAACAAACATGCGGTTTATCTTATGGATGCTTCTTCTGTCTCATGGTCCAAAATGTTAAAAAGATGAAAATTTGTAGTGCTCGCAAGTGACTCAGTTCAAGATAAAAGAATTATGATTTTGTCAAGGCCTTAAGTCTGTCTAGGCTTGTTTGTGTCCATCTAGGTCCCCTTCCTTGCTACCTGTATATTCTATAGTAACTAAAGCACTAGCTATATTAAAGCCTTGGCGTAAGTCATACCATTCTCATAGCTCACTAATATCGTGGTGGATGGTTCGCGTTAGTCCTGGTAAGGTGTACTGAAGCTAGTCGTATGCTGATGTAGTTGGTCAGCGTCAACTATTTCATTTAGTCGTGCAGGAGTGACTCTGCTTATCTATACGTAAGTATTTATGTACCATTGCTGTGAGCGGTCCACTGCATGAGTGGGTAAGCGCATCGCTGAATCACTATGCAGTTCTGGTCAAGTAAATGGTTAACATGAATGTTCGGTTCTCCTAAAGACCAGTGTAAAGTCACACAGTCCATGCGTATATCATTATTTGAATAAACTAGTTGATCCTCCCAGTGGTCATATGCTTACCTCAGAGATTAAGGCATACATGCCTATTTACATATCTTGAGACTAAATGGCGAATAGCTCATTAGACCAGCTGTTGTACCTTAGATCATATATGACACATGAATAACTAGTGATTCTACAGCTGATGCATGCAAGTTTAAGCCTTGACTTGCAAGGGAACGAATGCATTTATTAGGACAAATCATCCGAGTGCAGTTTCGAAATTTTTATGACCTTTATGTAATAAATTCGATCCGCTGAATGAATATTGCATTGAATGAACATCATTCTACTGTTTAACAGGTTCGAGCGTTTAGACATACCAGTACGTTGGCTGCAATGAAAATGATGACTGCTCTTGTTGATGTTGCACTAAATGTTAGTATTAACAGAGATAATACACAACGTCAGTACGAGGCTGAAAGATCAAAAATGCAGAATCGACGTGCTTCTGATAGGCTTGAAGTACTGATGCAACGTCGACAAGAGTTAGAAGAAAACATGGAGGAAGTCAAGAACATGCTGATATATATTTTCAAAGGAATATTTGTCCATCGATACAGGTAAATTCAAACATGATCTTTATTGTATCTTTTCGCGTCTTTCCTAGTTCCTTATTATTCTTACCTCTTATTCAAACCCTATATGCTACAGCGTACTTTAAGATGTAACTTACTATTGAGGCTAAAATAAAGTCACAGATTCGGTTACCTAGCGGTAGCCACCTCTAGAAGTATATTTTTGCGAATGTGTAAAATATTTGGAACAAAATTATTCGCTCGTAAGACCTCTATCGTAACTGTCTACAAGATAACCTTCAGACGTAGGATTTGAAACAGGACTTCTTACATGTGCAATAAGTAATGCCGAATTGTGGCTGTAAACGGTGGGTTCGTATCACAGGAATACACCTGATGTTACAGTATCAATCAATGTTTCACCTAGTGTGACCTTCAAAAAATTCAGCAGATAGATATCTTTGTGTCCTTGTTTTGCAACAATATAGTTAACTTTGGTGAAGTTCTAAAAGAAAATACATGTCTTCCATACATTTTGCAGTTCTAAAGGTGCCTCGCATGTAACCATGTTAAGTGTGGATGCGTCTGAACTTGTGAACTAGCCAGCAGAGCATGAGTGTTTATCCCTTTCTTTGTCTGTCTGGATTCAACATAGAACTTGGCATCGAAGTGCAGCAGTTCGAGTTGCCACGTTCCAAATAGCACACAAAGGTAGACAAGAAGATGAATGAAGAGAATCAATAGAGTTTTGACAAGTATAAGAGTGAAACAGAATGAGTAATGGTAGAAAGGAATATGAAAGATTACAGAGACTGAATACATCTGCGTAAGCCATTGACAACGATTTTGAGCCATTTCACCTAGTGTCTCCAGCCATTGATTCTTAGAGTCCCGAGGGCCCCAACCCGGAAGTCTGCATCTCCCTACCTGACTCAGTTTTACTGTCAGGGATTTCATGGATTGATGCCATGTTTCTGTTTGGCCACCACTTACTCTTTTCCAACCTACACCTATGTCAGTTAGTAATGCCCGTCGGGGGAGGCGATGGTTAGGCATGCGCAGCACGTGACCTAGTCATCTCAATCTATGTAACTTTATAGCCTCTTCGATTGATTTTCCCTCTTTGTCCAACACTCGACGCCTAACGTCAACATTACTCACCTTATTATACCACCCAACGTGAGAAAGAGATCTTAAACATCTGTGGTCAAAAACAGACAACCTTTTCATGTCTTCAACTCGTATTGACCATGTTTCAGAGCCATATAGAGAAGGACGGGGCGAACTGCTGAGCAGTACACACGTCCCTTGGTTGATAGCCGGATGTCACGCCTACGCCAGAGACGGTGCAAGTTAGCGAGAGCAGTCCGAGCTTTTTGGATCCTCCCTTTCTTTGACTCAAATGCGAACTTATGTCACTTAAATAAAAACAGTTGCTGTGATTTTCATTTGCACACCAACATATTTTTGATCTCAATCGTGAAACCAATGTGGCTAAGAAAATCAAAGTTTAGGCGTACAATTTAGTAGACAATGGTCGCGGTGATTGTCATAACAAAAACCGGGGTTAATTTGTGCAAGTGTATGTAATCTAGGTACTCAATCATTGTGAGTGTGTAAAGGTAGGGGGGAAATAGATATTCTCTCATTGTGATTACAAACTGGTGTTTGATTTTATAATCGGTTGTGAAACTAGGACTAAAATTCCACTACAGGCGAAGGTAAGTCTATCCACTTCAGTGCTCATTTATAAATTCAGTTGCTCTTGAGGAGTCAGTTACATAGTGAGAACAACTTGTCAAACCGACTGTCACCTTCCAATGTGGTTAGGAGAATTCGTTGATTCATTCAAGAGTTCCTCATTGGCGCACCTTATGTTATTGCATATGGAGCACAAGACTGATGAAAATTCGGCCTTTACAATTTTATACAAGGTGCTTTCCAAGGTTAGTACTCCTCCGATTACTAAACATATTTGAGGCAGTTGCTACAAACATTTTTCAAAGTTTGTTCAGTCCCTCCACCCAAAACCTAGAATAGCTGTCCTTCCGGGTGACGGGATAAGTGCAAATGTTACTTTTACTTGTACTGTTAACTTGAGTGTTGGTACCATATTATGAGACTACTCTCGCATGGATTCATCCTCGTTATTACTATGATAATTTACTCGACTATTATCTACTAATTCATATGCCTAAAATTTAATTTTGTTAACCACATTGATTTCAAATATTAATGATTGGTGTTTTATCATGTGATTGTAGAGACATGAGAAGTTACCGAAAATACATATTTACTCGGCGCTTGAATTATTCCAGGAAATTCAGAACATCTACGGTTCGGAAGCTTATTACTTAGATTGTGTTCTGTTGTAATTGTAATGGATAGAATTTATACACATAAGCTTTTATGCTATTTTCTCATCTGATGACTTATAAAGTAACTTTCCTGTCGTTTCAGGGATAGCCAAGCAGAAATACGAACAATATGTATGCAAGAAATAGGCGTTTGGATGCGTCGTTATCCCGCGATGTTTCTCGATGATAGCTACTTAAAATATGTTGGTTGGACACTCTATGACAGGATTGGAGATGTTCGTCTTCAGTGCCTTCGTGCTCTACAACCCTTGTATGAAGATCCTGCACTCATTAATAGTTTGGAGCTTTTCACCTCACGTTTTAAGTCACGCCTTGTGGATATGACTCTTGATAAGGAGACAGAAGTTGCGGTTCAGGCTGTGAAATTAGTTTCTTGCATTCTGAAGTGAGTTTTATAGTCTTCCAGTTCCTAATCAATTAAATATTGGAGTAATTTTCCCGTGGGTTTTGTCGTGCTAGGACTACGTTAGTCTATCGTACATTGTTGTGTTTCTCTTTTGTAAGGGGATGTTGAGTGATGGTAGACGATAGCACGATGTATGTTCATGGAAAGATCTGGTAAAATATGTATGTATTCAACTAAGCTAAACTTATGATTCGGGTGTATTCAAAGGAAGGGAAACTAATAAATATTGTTTCGAGAAACAGGACGAAAATGCTAAGGTAACAAGTAACCAGGAGCAATCCCATCCATTATCTCATTGCTGAAATATTAGCCATGTTTTTTGTTAATGTAATTGTCAAAAATTATTATAAAACCCACAGATAAACCAACCAAGTGAACTAAAGCCTCCAAGTATTTAAGCTCGCTCAGTCAATGGGAATGTGGAGAACAAATTGAATAAAACAGCCGAACCATGGGAAATCACGAAGATAACTGCTTAGTCCTCGGAAAACACAATTTTAAACACAGCTTTGTTTTTGAATGTACTTCACATTTTAAATCAAACGCCCTGTCGTATTTCTTTGATAGTACTGTTTCCTCTCGACTGGGAAATCAAAAGTACACAGACATAAGCTTCAATATGGTCCTTGTTTTCCATACTACTGTAGTTACACTAGCACGTTAATTTTTCATTAAATATAAGGTGTTATTCCGATGATTTACCTGACTGTTTATCTTGATTTAATCATCGCACCAGTTAAAAAGTTGGTTTTATTGTTTTTACTGTAAGACTACAAATTTCTTTAGGGTTATGCTATTGGATGTTGGTATGAAATCGTAGGGTTCCTTATACATTTTAAAGTAAATTAATTTGCTCCCAGTTGTAATATAGGCTAAATTTAATATAATCTTCCGTTTTTCCTCAGACATAGCGACTCAGTACTAGAAGACAAAGATTGCGAAAATATTTACGAGTTGGTATATTGCACTCACAGGCCATTAGCACAGGCAGCAGCGGAATTTTTGACATTGAAACTATTTGAAGTTGATTCTCATGCACCTCCAACTAGAACCAGAAAAGGGAAGAAGCGCAGTGAAAATACACCACTTATTCGTGACCTCGTACAATTCTTCATCGAAAGCGAAGTGAGTTAACAAGCATCATTATCCCTTGTCGCTGCGCTATATATTTATTAATTTGGTGAATTATTGAATATTTCGTATATGAAAAATAATAACGTCATTTGTCATTATCACTATTTATTAATTGTGTGTCACTTTTGAACTGATGATAAAATTGGAATGGTTACTTATGTCACAACAGTATTTGGACCGGTGGCAATCTCGTCACGTTTAAGAGTTGCCAAACCGTCCCAATGTTTCTGCAGGCTAAACGACTGCAGTCACAAACCTACCACAAAAAGCTGTTCGCTTGTCTTTCTGGGACTTCGGAATTCTTGTTGAATTGTTTAAGAAATCTAAGCCACTATTTGAAGTGTAGTTTGTCGTGCTGCTCTGTGTCGCAGTGTGATGCTAAGGTTTCGGATAACTCCAAGGAATTAAAAATTAAGTGTGAAGAATGTTCATGTCCTTAGAGCCTGGTAATATGTAATGAGTAGTATGAGATGAATGTGAGTGCCAAGATTAAGAAAATAACTATCAAAAGTGTAATGTAAGTGAATTAAGTATCGTTATATGGTACATTTATTGGAATAAGCTTTATAATCCCTATCTCGTCTCATTTTTATATGGTCTTCATGCTGAATACCTTTTCTCTTCGTTAGCTGCACGAGCATGCCACTTATTTGATTGACAGTTTGTGGGATCAATGCCAGATGCTTCGTGACTGGGAAGCCATGTTAGACCTACTACTGGAGGAACCTGGAAGGGGTGAGACAGCTATGGATGCTAATCAAGAAACAAGTTTGATTGAAATTATGGTTTGCTGTGTTCGTCAAGCAGCAAGTGGTGAATCGCCAGTAGGAAGACAGGTTAGTTAAGTTTGTAACTTGATTTTTCTGTGTTGTATTCATTAACAATGCTTTATTTGCTTAGCCTTCAAATATTCTGCAGTTATGCCCTGTTCATAATTTGTTGTTTGCTCACAGACTGGCGGTCATCATTCACATTCCAACACTAACATACAAACTGGTGGTACAAATGCTCAGGATGCTTCAGGTCGTGGTAGAGGTGGCGGGCCGGCTGGACCTGGTAGCAGCTCTGTACCGTCTACCCGAGAGGCTCGGGCCCTTACAGAAGAACGTCACCGTATGACAGAAGCAATGATAACCGCCTTACCAGCATTATTGTCTAAGTATGGCGAGTCTCCTGAACGGGCAACAAACCTGCTTGCAATTCCAACATACATGGAGATGGAACTCTATACCACGGGACGGCATGAACGTCATTTGGATCTTTTATTGCAAGGTGTCCAAGTATGTTAACTTTCATTACGCCAGTTGTTTTGATAGTCATTGAAGAGAATCTAATATTACTATTATCTTTATTATTTATTTATGTTTAGTCATATTCAACAAAGAAGAACAAGATTCCCAGTATAAAAAGTGCACATTTTATTTTGAGACTCTTCAGTTATAGCAACGTAATACAAACGTGAGACTAATGATACAAGAACACGTGTTTTCTGTTGGATAAAACTAGTAAAGAATAATGTTTAATGAAACGAACACTGATGACTCAAACATTGCAAGTTACTCATAAGGAAAATGTTTCTCATAATCAATTCCTAAGATTTGTGAAGTTCTAATTAAATAGCATACAAAAAATATGATTTACAATGCAACACACAGGGGACAATTCTGCGTGAGAGAGAATACTACTTAGTTGGACCAGCGCTCGAACTCTGAGCCGATTCTATGTTGAATTGAACTCATTTATATGACTCGGTTGACTACTGCTTTTTCAAACGTCTAGTTTCTTAAAATCATCTTTCTGTATCTTAGTGTGCACACTGTAAGATAATATCCTCCAAGTTGAGGATATATTTGTCAAAGGGTAAACATTGTTTGCTTATAAAACTGGTTAATTTTCGTACTATCTCTTCAGTAATCTTGTGGTTGGGCATAGTTTTGTGAAGAGTTTGTGCGGATGGTTTCACAAAATGTATTTATTCTATCCCGCTTAGCAAAGGAACCTGCCTTGCAGAGTTAATGTTTATATATCGCCTCAATCCTAAGTGGACAAAGTGACCTGCTGATGGTTGCTGAGATATCCGTGATGTAAGGAAAGGTAGTCCGCCCGTTAAGATGACTGCATGGAAATCAAATTCGTGTTTTGGATGTGAGGCAACGTGACTTTGCGTGTAGAAAAGTTTTACATGTCATACAAATTTAGTAAAATATAGTTTTCAAAAGCTAAAGGAAACCCAGAATGGGAAAAACTACCTTTAGAAACTCTTAGTAGGGGATAGCCATAAGTTCACTTAAAATTAGTAGCCATCAGCAAAGACCAAAATAGAGTATTTCACGTATTAGCCACGAACATATTAGGACTTACACAACGTCCTAAGAAAGCAAAATGTTCAACAAAGTAATCTCGTGGATACGTTCCGAGTGCAAGTATACTCTGTCCACTAGTATGTGAACAAATGGCCATCATATTTTATCGCCTGGGAAGGTTTTTTCAACATGTTACTCAATTATGTATCATATTAATAAGTTCTATTGTTTAACGCGACTGTAAAGTTTTTAATTTATTTAAACTTGCTGTATTGTTGCGTTCCAGAGAACAAACAAAATATGTTGCCTTAAAATCTTTTCCACTAAAACTGATATACTTTCAGGAAATCGTAGAACGTCATACTGACCCACATACCTTGTTGGCTTGCGCTCGTGTTTATGAGTCTTTATGTTTTGATGAATTGAGCATTGCTGCTAAGTGTCAAACTGTCCGTGGCACACTTCTAGATCACCTAGTGGATCTTTACCGCGATGCATTCTTGAACTATTTCAACGATCAGGTAAGCTGTTCTTTAGCAACTCATTCGATACTTCATTTGGTAGACCTTTTTCTAATACGATAATAATTGCCGGTATAAGGATAAAACTTGGGCACTCTGTTGGAGTAGAATTCAATTATAGATAAAATTTATTTTGATAAAGTCTCACATTGTTTTACGGTAATATTTACTGATGACGTTTCAAGCACAATTTATTGTTCATAATCATGTCATATACCCTTGATATGGTTATGCGCAATAAACTGTGCTCGAAACGTCGTCAGTAAATATTACCGTATAACGCTGTGTAACTTCATCAAAATAAATTTTATCCATAATGGGTTAATAATTATTATTACAACTATTGTACGCGACTTTTTGAGATTAAAAACACGTGTATCGTTAGCCTTCTATGTTGCTATCTTCCACATTCAGTCCTTGTAGGTAATCTTGTTCCAGGATGTATTCTAGAAGAATGATGCACTTTCATAGATATCCCAGTATGTTAGGTGTTATGTAGCTGGAGTCAAGCTGCACATCAGTTTTATTAAGTTATGTGTAGTTTTATACCCCCGTAAATGCCTCTACCTTAACGTGGTGAAGACTTGAATGAATCCTCATCTCCATTCTCCAAGACTACCGCGCCAGTTGTCGGTATATGTTGCTTATTGTTTCTTTGGAATAATTTCCGATTAAATATGAAGATTTCAAACTGAGATAGTGGTTTAAAAGTTTCAAATTTGAAGTTGTCTGAGGTCTTTTAGTTTTGTTAATTACCTTGGGATCTGAATAGAGCAAGAACAACAGTTTGTGCAGAATAAAATGGAACCATCATTTATTTCGTTGGCTTCTCATCAACTGCTTAAAGCTCAAAGACATTATTTAGTTTATGCAGAGAAACAATTTAAACATACATGGGGTTCATTTTCAAACTAAAAATCAATATGTGCATACAATGGTAATAATCACTTTATGACAAACAATAATAATCATACACAATGGAATTTTTGGTGTAACATAATCAAATGAAAGAGATAGTAAAGACATTCAGTCAGCAGGGCAAGGGAAGACTAATATCCACGTCTTCCTGAACACATAAACTGGGTTTCAGGTGCTTGATGGAGTATGCTTCGGCAAACTCAAGGGAAATTAAACTCTTGTCTGTTAATAATTTTGAACGATCTTGCGACGTCCACCTGATGACCTTTGTCAATGAGATGCCTAGCAATGGCACAGTTGAATGCTTTTTGGTACATGTTCAGAAAATCGGAGGTAGGGAATCGGCAATTCACTATTATTTCGAGGTGTGTTATGCTATCACTTTTTATCTTAACGAATCTCTTCTCACTTTCATAACTCTTAGTTTTCTAACGATAGATTTCAACGCACTTTAAACGTCTTTCATTGAAGAACTATAAATAACGTATAGGTCAACTCAGAAGTTGGGAAGACTGTCGCATATCATTTGTTTGAGCTTCTCCAGTCGGATTATGTATAGATGACTTTTATCAAATGAAGTCCTGAATTACTGTAGCTTCATTTAAAAACAAGAACCAACCCAAATATCCGGAGACTGACTAATAGAAGTGCTCCATTTTTGATTCATTAGAATAGACTTAAATAAATCTTGTATGTTCGTTTCGAAAACTCAGAATTTTAAGTACGCTTTTTCTGTGTGTAAATATGACATGCAAACATTTGCACCAGAGCTACTGATAATATATTGATAAAGCATTAAATAGCGAAACATCAGTGAAAACAATATCGTTTTTTTCATTCATTGGGAAATGTAAAAACTTCTATGATAATTAAGAGCTATGAAAGTCTAGATGTATTATTTTCCGATAGACAGCAGCAGAATAAGGTAGAGTTATGTTGTGAGCTATTGAAGATATGACAATATTAGCATTTCCTGATTATAGTTGCCTGCTAGATATCCCCTGTTTGGTAGGATAATAATGGAATCAGGCACAGAATATTAGGCAAGGATAGCAAGTCAATTGTGATAAGGTTTTAGAGCTGCAACGAATGAGATGTGACTACACGTATGTTATGCATGCGAAGACACGTTATCTTGTGGAACATGCTTTCAGTAACAGTGGCTGTCACATTATAATCGTGCAGAAAATAGTGGTACTAATGCAATAATTATGTGTAACTAACTGACGTATTACCGTGAAACTTTACATTGGTCGTAAAAGTTCACATAAAGGAATGTAATATTAATACTCTCTTCATTTGCACGGGTAGAAGAAAAGTTCGGTGATTAAAAATGAATATTATCGGAATCTAGGGGTTGAGGAGTGAATGCATATGCACCTTTATCAGTGCATATAATCCATTGGGGAAACACCGAAAGATGAAGGCTATAATCAATAGCCTTTCTTGAAACCAATTACATTTAAAACTTATGTTTTCAAAAAAGTACTTTCACTCTGCCTTCTGCGAATTTCTGATACTTTACCTTGTGTTATGTTTGTGCTTTCCTGGATTGTTACTAATCAATATCTGTCATTCTTTGTTTGTGATTTTGTTTAGGGTGAAGAGCCCGATCAAGATGATGAATTTCACATTGTAGCTGCACTGAAACGCATTAATGCGTTTTATAGGTGAGTTTTTGCACAAGGTTAGAATTTGTTATCTTTAATATTAATTTCTCATATTTTCGAATAATAATTTATATGAAATCGTTACCCATCTATATAGGATAGCTAATGAGTATTAGGTTTTATCAACTCGATCATCTCAGCAATATGATTTCATGATGCAAACTAGCCAGATAAATTGTCACACTCATTTACAAGGTGTATTTTAGGTCTCGCGCAACTTTATTCATTAGCGTACTTTAGTAATAAAGCCGGATCAAAAATACTAATTAAGTTTGACACAATTCACATGTTACATGTTTTGCATGCAGAGATTCAAAATTATAATCTTACTGTCCAATCGCTTGACGGAATCATGACTTCCGTAGGATAAAAGGTTATGAACAAAACATCTTTTGGAACTATTTGTTATTGAGTCGATTTCCACGTAGGATTTACAAACCTCTGCAGAATGGTCAACATCGACTTTTATTTAAAGTGGTCATTAAGTGTTGTGCTTGTATGTGTTTTCAATATTTTTGTATGTTGCTTTGAAACGGTTTGTGTTTAGCAGTCACTTTTTATAAGCCCTAACGAACTACCACAATATCAAGGGAAATACTGTCATTCTTTTGGTAATATGATGACTCTGTGACTCATAGACTAGTACATGAACCATCTGTTTTGTTTAACTGAGTCCAAATAGTTGAGTTGTGACTATTTAGAGTACTGTGAATGTAATTCTACTGTTTTGTATTAGTGTCAAGTTTTCTCCCCCTTATTCCGCCGTTTTTTGAAACTATACTTTGCCGGCAAGTTTCATTACAGGATATAGTCGTGGTTACATTTTTCTGGGAAAAGCGTGCATGTTAATTCTTTAAGATAAGTCTTCTGCGTTATGTCACATATTTTTCAATTGTCATTTACATGAAAAAACAAGTTTCTGTTGCATCGTTTCCCTTTTGCTTTTAGTTGTCACGACCTCTCAGGGTTGGATTTGTGGGACAGTCTTATCCGAATAGCACAATCAGGAAATGATGCCAGTGGCGATGTAGTGGCTCAAGCTATTTGTTGTTGTTATCATGCCTTACTATGGAATTTGAAGAGATTACAGGAGGGCGAAATGGAAAAGGTAAGTTTCGATCATTCTGTTTCGCCTGTCTTAGCAACAAAATAGTGACATCAGTTTATCGATCACAAACTTCTTATATATTTCGTGTTCGGAAGGCGAAGTAAAAAATGCATATTCTATCGCCAGTTACCTTCAGATTAACTACTACTCACATTTCCACTGGATTGTTGGAAATTCCGAAAGTGGCTTGTGGATTGTACTTGAGGACGTTTTGGAAAAACGTCAAGATTTCCAGACTACATTTGAGAGATAGTCTTCAAAGTTCCACGGGTGTGTTTAGTACACAATGACAGTTAACGTCTTGATCATATGAATGGGTCGTCTAAGTTAGATGTTTTGAATACTTCTCTTATGATATCATAACGAAGCATTAGTTTTAGTGGACGATGAAATCTTAGACTGTGAATCTGACTTTGTGATTAAATCTCACTACATTATGATGACAGTCAAAATTGTACTCATTGTCGTGCTGTAATACATCTGCCTAGTTCATTACAATTCAATGTATTTACCATCGTGTTTTTATAATTGTTTACAGGCAGAGTTAAATAAACTACGCAGGCAGCTAAATTTGTATATGGACATATGCATCGGTTACTTGGACCATTCACACAAACGCCTTGCATCAGAATCTTTCTTCTCTATCTGTGATTTGCTAGTTGTTTTTTCTCGTAACCTTTCTGATCATGTGCCGAACCTGCAACCCCTTATCTATGTAGCTGATAGAGATCTTGAACTCAAGTTGACCAACTATTTGGAGCAGCGAGTTTTTATCGATGATGATGATGTAAGTCTTGATTTATCTGACTAATAATTGGTTGCATTTTTTATCTATCTTAAGCTGACAATAATATGTTGCGATACTTTCAGAAGCAGCTTTTCTTTTGGATTATCGCACGTGACTTATTATTATGTCTGTATTTCAGATTTCCATCAGTTTTGAAAATAGACCCTATATGGTTCTTGAACACTCATCCACTAGTGTGGATCAAGTATTCATTCGTTTCCCAATTTAATCGTCGATAAACTTATAGTCTGAAAATTGAGATCCCATTTGCCATGGAGTTTATATTTATGGTGAACACTTGGATTTTTTCAAATTTTAGCCTAGTCAATGTGCCGTCCTTATACGTTCACTGTAACCCAGAAAGGGGATTAGACGTTCTCAAAGTTGACCGTTCCCAACTATCCATACACATCTGCTACTGTTGCGGATATCGGCGACCTCTTTGCCGATTCATTGACACTAATGTGTATTATTTCTTCACTGGTATTGGTATATTTTTACACCACTGTCTGTATTACACACCTACAATTCCCCACTGAATTGGCTATTTTGAGTTTGTGCTTATTCATAGATTGGTTAAACACTGTATAGTTGTAGTTATCATGAGTAACTTTTTCCTCAGCCTTGTTGTAGCTCGCACTTACTGCAAACATGTAATTCATTCACTTATTGTTGTCGGGTGAATCCACTGTCTTTGGAACTGCAACTGAGACACAGTCCTTGTCTTAACAAGCCCTAGAAGGCTTACACGTCAGTGGTATGCGGGATGAAAAGTGCCCTTACCTTTCGTCTATGTGATACGCATTCGTTTCATGAATTAACAGTCGAAGAAATGAATATAAGGGGAGTATTTCATTCATGTGTCCACGTAGCTTGGTAGTGTTGACAGTTGAGCAGATAGTTTTATTAGCCCATTTTCATTCAACATACCTATACGTATACTCTATTATACATTGCAGGAAGAAGAAGATGAAAGTGCAAAGTTTGAATCTCTTCACGAAAGACGCAAGCAGTTGTCATCATTTTTTAAATTGGTGGTTTTTAACATGATTCCTGTACGTGCGGCTGCTCCATTATATAAGTATTACATTCGGTCTTTCAACGATTTCGGAGATATAATGAAATCGACGCTAGCCAAAACTCGTGAACACCATCGTGTAAATACTGCACGTATGATAGCTCATTGTTTAGAATTATGCTACCTGCAAGTTGAAGCAGCTTCTAATGTAAGCAAAAGTTTTTATTTCATTAGCTGAAGGTATTTGCAACGTTCCATTTTTCGTAATTATAATATACTCGCGCGTACGTAATCTACTGGTTTATGTATCAATCCCCTCCTCAGGTGGACGTGCATTTATCCTCTCAATGAGAGCAGTTTCACTACAGTAGTTTAGTATGGTTCGTCATTTCGCAGTTTGTCATACGTTTTTCCTAGCTGAAAAAGCACAATCTAGTAGTTTTAATGCGTCATCTGTTTATTGAAGTGTAGATGTAGAATTTTGCAATTAAATATCATTGTTAAAGGCAGGAATATTCGATAAACACCAGATTTCAGGAAATCATACAGTCCAACTTTCAACATTACTGATGTATTGGCATTGATTTGTATTGCTTATATTCATCTAAAATAACTAGTATCATTTGATGTCGTTTTCTAAATCAGTGTTATCATCACTATACTTTTGTGGCATTCTGAAATATTGCACGTTGTTGTTAATTATTCCTCTTGAACCTGAAGAGCTCTGTTAGACTTTTCAAACGGTTTACTACACAGGTAGTGTGGGTATTTATGGTATTCTTTCAGATATCGTATGAGTTCACATAATGACCGAATCTGTTTTCTTTTGGTAACAAAACGACTGGCGCTAAACAAAGTTCCTGGTTTTCGTTTTAATCAGGAGGGCTTTGTTTTCATGATTTCATGCATACTTTCAAATTATTTTTGTAGAATCATGTCGAACGTGGTTCCGAAGGCATTCAAGCTGTGAAAGAACTCGCTAGACGTTTGAATCTCAGCTTCGGTCTAGATCTGATGAAAATACGAGAATCTATGGTCGCTCTTCACTTGGATGGCATTCAATTTTGTGTATCTCGTGCAGCGTCCACAGCTGCGAGTGGTGGCCAACCGCCTGGAGTTCCAAGCAACTTATTATTTCTTGAGGTTGTCTCCGAGTTTTCGAATAAACTTCTTAGGCCAGACAAAAAGAACATATCAGATCACATCCGTCGAGTAAGCTTTAAATAACGTGGTCATTTGTTTAAATCCTTGTTTTCAATGCCAATATAAATCACACTTTTTTGGTCTCATATGCTTGGATATATCTCGTAAGAAAAAATAAAACAAAACGGTGTGTTGCGCTGGTTACTTGTACTGAAGCTAGCAATTTGTAATTAGAAGCTAAATTATCCTTATCGTTTTCTTAGATGGAAATCATATAATCCAAATAGTTAAAGATTGTGATTAGTGTATATTGATGAGGTATTCTTGTATTAAATTCTGTCATCTTAATTTGGTTCCCCTTTGACTTTCAGATGGATGCACTTGATTAAACTCATGTATTTAAATCGAACGGATAAAAATTCCTGCTCATTTGTGACTCCTCAATTTTTAATGGATGTAAATCAGTTAAATGAATGTTATTTCACAGTGTTTTTGGCAGTAAGACAATGTATTTCACTACTCAATTTAGCGTTCATTCTCCTCGTGTTTGAATTAGTTTTTCTTCATAATGAATTTCTGAGTACTAGGTCGATAATGTCTTGTTTTTCTATTTCCCGAGTACTATTTTGGATTTCGACGCATTAAAATACTGCAGTTCTTTGTGACGTCCCACTTCGGTCTTTCATTTGAACGTGTTTTCTGAACTATAATAATATGAGTGATGTAGACAATTAATTGTAAACACTGGGAGTTGTGTGTTAAGACTGAATCCAACGTCATCGGAAAGGCTATAGGTTTAGTCATGGAGCAAAAGATATTTCATTGAGTACTGCATTTTTACGTCCCTTTATTCACTTATTCTAGGCTGTAGTTGCGACTGATTCTATATGAGCTTTTGCGTGTTTGTCAGCTATACTTTTAAATATTTGAATATTAAATATTTATTTCAATATTTTTCATTCTGTCTATCATTTCACTTTTACATTTAATTAAGAGAACTGACATTTCTACATTATTCGTGCTTTCTTTTCTAAGATATTCCCTAATCCTGTGGGCGCAGAATGGTCCAGTCTACATGCCTATTGTTCCAGTCTAGATCCTGATGCTGCGGATAATACTTCACCGAATGATGGACCCAATCATACCACAAATACTCATTTAGCCAGCAATTCTAATTCTCTTCTGACACAAAGCAATGCGGTAGTACCAACAAGTGCGCGTACAGGTTACGGAAGCAGAGGACGGGGGAAAAGACTTCGGGATTCTGATTCCTCTCTTCGTAAGTTATGAATTGATATCCATCTATGCGAAGCAAACTAAAATATCAGTCGTGTTTCATATCATGTCTATTTTCGGATATGCGTGCATTTGTTTTTCTGATTGTCAAAATAGGATGTTTCCTTAAGGACGTTTTCATGAAGAATTTTCACGACATTGTATCACAAGACCTAATTTTGTAAAATTTTCAAAATGTCGAGTAGGCTTTAGAAAGGCAACTCACTGGTGAAAAGGCTAGTGCTCGAAACAATGTATCTCTATATTTATATCTGATATCGTTTGATGAATTGGAATGGCTTGTGACAAGTGCATGGATGACAATAACTATTCTCTTGCTCGTCGAAGTCTACATTGAGATCCTATTTTGGTGTGTGTGTGTGTTTATCTCGTTGCATTCCAGTCACTATTATCCCTCGAATGGAAGAAATATTACTGTTTCTGTTTGTCGCATCTTTACGTTGAATCAGTCGGTCCCATCGTTTATTTCATCAGGTGCCTACATGCTAAAAGATTACTGAGTCTATGTACAGAATAATTTTAACATGGACGTGTTACCTGATTTCAGTTGACGGGAAACTACAGGCTTGACAAAATGTTCTCAAGAAATTTCGCTTATACATCTTAAACATGGAAAGTCAAGATTTGAACAAAAATGCTTTGATTTGGTGACAAAGGACTTATATAGTAGAGACAAGGGGTAGATAAGATGATTAACTAATTAGCTTAGTATCAAAGTAGTGAGTTCAACAGAAATCGTATAAATTAAAGACAGGCGAAATTACATAATAACGCGAAGGGAGAGAGGATAAATCCAAAGATTATAGGGTCAACTAAGGGAGAGTAAAAACGTCCAGATACCAGGGCATGAAAGTGTTGATGACTGCTTCTTTCCGAACACACAAATTGGGATTCAGATGTTCTGTTAACAACTACTTATGCAAACTTGAGGAGTATAGGACCTTTTTGTCTATTGATAATCTTTAAAGGATTTCATGACCCCCGTATCGAACAGGTGGCTGTCAATGAAACTACTGTATTGTTACATGTTCAAAAAATTGAACGTGTTTTCTTTCTGTCCTCCAAATGTAACTGCTACCGCATAATGATATAGATTGGCATACACAGACAGAGCAAATCTCATACACGGGAACCAACTTAGTGCAAGATTGCTTCTCGCCGATGAAATATTCAACCTTCTGTTGACTATTCCTGCGGTATTATCACTTTGAGAATGTAAATGATAAAGATAAGCTTCTTTTTTTCACTGAACACTCGATCGATGACTGCTTTCGATGAGTAGTTAACGATAGATAGATCTTACAGTCGTCGCTCACGAATGATTGTCTAATTGCATCAGTTCCTCAATCCACTATCCAATAAATGTTGATTGAACTGTTATATTCGGATGTTAAAACAGTAATTACCAATAGTGGTTTTCGTTATCTTATTCGCCATTCTATCGTTTAAATCGCATAGTTTTGTTTTACGTTTTCATAGTAAGCTAAACACATGATTTTCTGTTTCTTTTACATCCTAGCTGCCGCTGATATAAGTGTAAACCCACAGTCTACTAGTACAGCCGTCAAAAAGAGACGAGTTAATCTTCCAAACACTGCCAAGAATCTCTCTGGGAACATTTCTCACGTCACAACTGCTGAAGCTAATCCTTCCCGATCTACGTCGCCTGTGGAAATACCTCCCAATAATTTAGGCTGTGCATCTCAGTAAGTTAAGTGTTTCTTTTTGCTAAGACCCGGCATAATTCATTCATGTGTAAGAATATTGTATCCAAATACATTAAGATTTATTTGACTCTATCATACAACTCCTGTCATCTAATTTTATTTTAGCCACAAACCTTCGATGGAGCCATTGAGTACACCTGTTCATTCGTCCAATCAGTGATTCGTCCTGTATCCATCGAAAATTAATTTTTATCGATTAAAAATTGTTTGTAAAAAGTTTGTTCAAAAGATTTGGAACTTGCCCCTACTTATTTATATTTATACAATTATTCAAACGTTTTTTTCCGTTCATCATATTTTCAGAAGTTTATATGTATATATATATAGACAACTGATGGGTCACATTGTTAGTTGTTTTCACACAGATTTATTATCTTATTTGGTTGTATTCCCATAAATTCTTCCAGGACATGTACATTTTTAGGTTATATGTGACAACCGCTTTGAATATCTCCACTGTTGAATAGTAAAGTTTTCTTTCTCCTAAAATTAAACGGGCTGTTTTGTACAATAAAATTTAAAAGCCTTCGTTTATACCTACACATGTTCCTGTTTGTAATTGCTCTATTTTTAAATAAAATTTGTATTACCTTTTTAGTCCGTTAACTAAGGTATGCTACAGCTCGTTGAGTGAAGCTGTTCAAATCATGCAGAGTTGAACTATTTTTACATACAAATATTGATATCATGTAAATTGCCTTTTATAAAAACTGATCAGACTTATATGGAATGCTTCAGTAGATAGTTTTTTTTGTCGATTTTTTCGTTAAACTTTTTTTCATTTTGAAATTTTCTGCTTATCAGTTTCAAGTAATTTTGTTCAGCTTTACATATATCATGTTCATACACTTTCAATATACATATAGCGATATTCATCTGTACACGATCATGACGTCCCGTGTTTGAGTTTCAATATCATGCTAACATCCATGTTCATTCAGATTCCTATAATCCATATGTACATTATTCATTTTACTCATTTTACCGTTATTACTACTACTGTAATTGTCATTATTATGATTACCGTTACTGTTATTATTACTCGTTGAGATTGATATTGATATTCTAACGTTTTGCCAGTTTTCCTAAACTGTGCATCTTTTTCATAAAAAGAATTGTACAGTGCTTCTAACCACACAAATTTCGTTATAAAAAGTTCAACTACATTTTTCTTATCAATAACACACCAACAAATCGCATCCACCAAAACGAAAAAAGCTTACCTATATCGAGTAATTCTAGATTGAGGATAAACAAGCCATTACTGCTTTCACTTGTGTTGGAATCCCTCCTTCTTCTCTTTGTCTGCCTTGCCTCGCCAGCCTCAAATATGGTGCAGACATTCCATGTCCTTGAACTTACTTCTGACGTTGCTATTGAAACTACAAAAGCCACGAAAAGCTGCTGATAAGTGACTGTAATATTTGAGATAAAAGTCTACATTGACAGTGATGCAGCTACATTGGTATGTTAAGAATTCAGTGGACATACACCTCACTCCTTAACATTTTCAAATCACAATTCCTTGGAAATATGGTATATGTAAGAGAAGTTGTGACATATCATCAGTGTTCTGTGAAGGGTTATCAGAGTATCAGTTAAATAATCTGGGTGTTGTTTAGAAGAAGTTTCTTCACTAGTTAACAGATTAATTACACAAGTGGTGTTGCTACATCCACATGTAGAGAGTGGAAGTTTCACTTGGATTTCCTGTCAATTATGTAGAGAAATATGAATTAATTAGACGATTCGTTTACTTCTGCAGGTAGGCAAACTGTAGCTTTAGATGCATTGCTTCAGGTTTTCAGAACCGATTGGTGAAATTCCTTGGCGTGCTGGTATGGATGTGGAAGATTTATCCAACAGAATGCTTGATAATCGTTCCAACCTTGATTTCGCACTTACAAATGCTACCAATAATTCAGGATTTTAAATGCATTGATAGAGTGGTTGGTCCAGAATAATATTCGCGAGAATCCCTTTTATTGTGGTCATCATTCAGACTCTTAAGATATTAAAGAAGCTGGGCAAGGAGACTTATCCTATGGGAAGGCAGACGATGTTCTCAAGAGGAAGTGTTCAGTTTCAGTGCAGTCAGTCATATTGTCTGCACAATGTTTGCTTTCTATAAATAGGCTAATCATATCACAGTCAGGTATTTACCCATTGCAGTGTAAACATTTATTGTTAGTTTCATCATAGTTAAGTAATCGGGCAAGGTTAAACTGTAAGATCCCAAACGAACGAGCGTACTAGTAGCCTTAAATTGACCGATTGCGTTGGAATGGCGAAATTTCGTATAATCAATATAAGATTTGCATTCGGGTGAAAAAAGACACCAAATGAAGTATTAATAGTGAATGCCGTTCAACATATATCGAAAAGATCACTTCTGTAAAGTGTCCTAAACCAAACCCTATGTAGTCATTCCTAAGACCAACTTCTAGTCAATTGTAATCCACCCTGAGCCTGATCTAATACTAAGGCTAACGAAAATCTATCTGGAACCTAAGGCTAATCTGAGCTCCTGACCATGAAATATAGTCACTTGGATGAATACCGACACTCTTATGAGAAACTGAGAGTTATTCTCACAACATTTTGGAGAAAGCCATCCTGTCTAATATTCTTACACTTCTTTGGATATATTTTTATGAATAATCAGTTATTTACCATATTTCACTAGTCTGCTCTGGTCAGTAGGTTCAATGTGGTTAGTGCACTGGTTCGGTCGGGATCTTCATTCACAAGCAGCCATGACACTCTCCGTTTGTGTCGGTTAACCGCTTTAAGAATCCGTTCGCTACACTCAGTGGAAACAAAAGTAGGCATAGGGACACGGAATGCTCACACCATGTTTGAGGCTGGCTGGGTTGTTCAGATGTCGGAGGAAATGAGAATACACAGTGTAGAAGTGTTAGGGAATGTGTGACAGCAGCTGAGATGGATGTGGACTCTCCAAAGTGTTAACTGGAGAGTCGATAATCTACTCCAGTCAACCAGACGACAACCACGAGCACACCGAGGGTGTGGCCATGATGGTGTCATCAAAAGAGTCAAGTTCCAACTCTCACGTAATGAGGACCATTCTCCTCCAGGATGATGACAGCAAGATTCAGCTGTCTGAGAAAGGAAGGAGACTTCCAATTACACATTGCTGCGCACCTGTAAACAACCGAGACCAGGAGAAGAAAGAAGATGTTTACAAATAAAATAACTGCAAGCAGTAGTGACAGTATCTTGGATGGAGATGTCAAACTTATAAGGGGTGATATGAATGCCAGTCAAACTGGGAGCAGACAACACAGGAAGAGAACTCATTATGAATCGAGAGGCGCTCGCTCGGCGAAATGAATGAGAACGGAGAACTGTTGGCAGACTTCTGCGCTTTTAATGATTTGGTGGTTGGTGGTATCCACAAGGCGGCAGACGATGTGAGTTTCACTAGATGAGCACACCAGAAGTCAGATAGACTTCATCCCAATCTGAAGAGAGTGGAGATGCGGTCTGTTGGGCACAAAAAGATCGAGAAGAGGAGCACATGTGGGTCCAGATCACTACTGTCTAGTACAAGGAGCCTTCAAGATCGAGTTGAAAGTTTCCAAACAAGCTGGAGATAGACGACAATTCAAATTCATTTCCAACACTGAGAAACTGGAGGACGAAGCTACAAAGGACACATTCATACTAGTCATCAGGAGATCGTCGGAGACATTGAGCAATATCACCGAGGAAACCTGAGTGATAGAAACACTCGGACTCACTGAAGACAATGTGGCAGGAAACCTGTATATAACTTTCAGGCGCTAAGAATAATCAGGAAAAAAGAATGTCTGACTATGGAGACCAGGAAGTTGATAGCGAAAAGAAGGGTTGTGAATCAGAGGATGAACCAGTGGAGGGGTGGACAACGAAAGAAGAAGCTGAGCATAGTCTACAGATTACTGTACAAATGAGTGAAGTAGAGTGGTATGAAGAAGGCTTTGGCGACACACCAGCAACTGGATCAGAAGAGGTTTCAGGTAAGAGAGACGTCACAACACCATATGAAATACCCAGGCCGCTATGCGGGAAGAGGTCTACGCATATGAAGCCAGTGAAAGATAGTAAAGGTAAGCGAACTATCAGGAAGTTGGAGGAGAGAAAGTGCTTAGCTGATCGATTCAAAGGACTCTGAAATCGACCAACACCTACAACTGGTACAGAACCACCATTGAATAACCACCCACCGACAACAGTAGAAGTCTTGGAGACCAGAAGCACTGAAAGCGGACCTATAGACCTCAGATGACACACACACCACTGCTGCAGAAGATATGGAAGGAAAGAAAGGTGCCTGCCGATTGGAGGAATGACAAGACTACCGATCTGCCAAAGAGGGCGACTTAAGCCTATGCAAGAACTGGTGGGGAATCATACTCCTCTCCATCCGTAGTAAAGTATTAAGCCACGTCATCTCTGAGAGACCAAAAGATTCCCTGTATGGAAGACTTCACTTGGAGAATTCTAGTTTGAGGATAAACAAGCCATTACTGCTTTCACTTGTGTTGGAATCCCTCCTTCTTCTCTTTGTCTGCCTTGCCTCGCCAGCCTCAAATATGGTGCAGACATTCCATGTCCTTGAACTTACTTCTGACGTTGCTATTGAAACTACAAAAGCCACGAAAAGCTGCTGATAAGTGACTGTAATATTTGAGATAAAAGTCTACATTGACAGTGATGCAGCTACATTGGTATGTTAAGAATTCAGTGGACATACACCTCACTCCTTAACATTTTCAAATCACAATTCCTTGGAAATATGGTATATGTAAGAGAAGTTGTGACATATCATCAGTGTTCTGTGAAGGGTTATCAGAGTATCAGTTAAATAATCTGGGTGTTGTTTAGAAGAAGTTTCTTCACTAGTTAACAGATTAATTACACAAGTGGTAGATCCCAAAGGAACGAGCGTACTAGTAGCCTTAAATTGACCGATTGCGTTGGAATGGCGAGATTTCGTATAATCAATATAAGATTTGCATTCGGGTGAAAAAAGACACCAAATGAAGTATTAATAGTGAATGCCGTTCAACATATATCGAAAAGATCACTTCTGTAAAGTGTCCTAAACCAAACCCTATGTAGTCATTCCTAAGACCAACTTCTAGTCAATTGTAATCCACCCTGAGCCTGATCTAATACTAAGGCTAACGAAAATCTATCTGGAACCTAAGGCTAATCTGAGCTCCTGACCATGAAATATAGTCACTTGGATGAATACCGACACTCTTATGAGAAACTGAGAGTTATTCTCACAACATTTTGGAGAAAGCCATCCTGTCTAATATTCTTACACTTCTTTGGATATATTTTTATGAATAATCAGTTATTTACCATATTTCACTAGTCTGCTCTGGTCAGTAGGTTCAATGTGGTTAGTGCACTGGTTCGGTCGGGATCTTCATTCACAAGCAGCCATGACACTCTCCGTTTGTGTCGGTTAACCGCTTTAAGAATCCGTTCGCTACACTCAGTGGAAACAAAAGTAGGCATAGGGACATGGAATGCTCACACCATGTTTGAGGCTGGCTGGGTTGTTCAGATGTCGGAGGAAATGAGAATACACAGTGTAGAAGTGTTAGGGAATGTGTGACAGCAGCTGAGATGGATGTGGACTCTCCAAAGTGTTAACTGGAGAGTCGATAATCTACTCCAGTCAACCAGACGACAACCACGAGCACACCGAGGGTGTGGCCATGATGGTGTCATCAAAAGAGTCAAGTTCCAACTCTCACGTAATGAGGACCATTCTCCTCCAGGATGATGACAGCAAGATTCAGCTGTCTGAGAAAGGAAGGAGACTTCCAATTACACATTGCTGCGCACCTGTAAACAACCGAGACCAGGAGAAGAAAGAAGATGTTTACAAATAAAATAACTGCAAGCAGTAGTGACAGTATCTTGGATGGAGATGTCAAACTTATAAGGGGTGATATGAATGCCAGTCAAACTGGGAGCAGACAACACAGGAAGAGAACTCATTATGAATCGAGAGGCGCTCGCTCGGCGAAATGAATGAGAACGGAGAACTGTTGGCAGACTTCTGCGCTTTTAATGATTTGGTGGTTGGTGGTATCCACAAGGCGGCAGACGATGTGAGTTTCACTAGATGAGCACACCAGAAGTCAGATAGACTTCATCCCAATCTGAAGAGAGTGGAGATGCGGTCTGTTGGGCACAAAAAGATCGAGAAGAGGAGCACATGT